TTCGTTTAGGTTAAGGTTTCTTACTATGCCTTGGAAGGCTTCAATTTACCTTCTATTCTTGTTCTTGTGTGATGACTTTGGAACTTGATTCCATGTTGATGAGTGCCTGTGTGTAAGCTGTTGTCCTGAAGATTGGTCTTTGTTGTTGAAACTTGAGAGGAGCTCAATTTCAACATGGTGATGTTGTGCTCATGAAGCTTGCTTTGAGGACTTGAAGTTCAACCAAAGAAGATAAAGTTGTTGGGTAGAAAACAGAGAGTGTTTTACAACTTTGGTTATATATCTTGCTTTGTATTTGAACTCATAATATTTCATAGTGAATTTGCTTCCCTTGGACTTAGTCCTATGGATGTAGGCATGATGCCGAACCCTATAAAAATGAGTGTGTTCTTTACTTGCTTTGATGCATGTTTTGTTTATGTCTCTCACAACTCATATGCACCAAAATGAACAAGCAACCCATTCCCATAAGTTTTAATCACTTGGTAACCTCCTTAAAATTTATAATTGGTATCTGAGCTGGTTCTGAAAAGTTATTTCAGTTTATCCTTGTTTGTTTATCAAGTCTTAAGTCTATTTTGTGTCTGTTTGCATTGTTGTTTATTTCTTGTCTTTTGGAGCAGATCTGCTCATTTCAAACTGTGTGACCACATCGCCATGAGTTTCTTTAGTAAAGGTGGGTCTCCTCACAAACCATTGTTGTTGGAGGGAACTAGCTTTTCCTTCTAGAGACCTAGGATGAATGTCTTCTCAAAATCTATTAATGAAAGGGCTTGGAACACTTGTTGTTGGTTAGAAAGAACCGCAAGTTGTTAGTGAAACTGGTGGTAGTAAAGGAAAACCCCTAGATCAATGGACCAAGGCTGAGTTGGAAGAGTCAAAATTCAACTCAAAGGCTCTTCATGCCCTCTTTAATGCTGTTAGTATTGGCCAAATGAAAAATATTGCCCACTATGAAAAGACTAAAGATGCATGGGACAGACTCCAAGTTAAGAATGAAGGAAATAACACGGTTAAAAAGACTAGACTTAGGAGATTGATCACTGATTATGAAAATCTCTTTATGCATGATGATGAATCTATCACTGATATTCATGACCAGTTGTGTGACATCACAAATGAATGTTTTGCCTAGGGTAAGATTTATACTGATGCTGAACTTGTCAAGAAAGTGTTGTGTTCCTTACCTATGAAGTTCATGTTCAAGGCAACCTCTATTGAAGAATGCCGAAATTTGGATGAGATGCAGTTGGACAAACTCATTGGGTCACAAAGAGTCCAAAATTTTTGATAGGAAAACACCTCATATTTTGTTTTCGGAAGAGCATGAGAAACTTTCACAAGAGGGGGAAAAGTGGATGAAACACACATTATCTTCATGTATGCTTGTTGCAACGCTTATTGCCATTGTGATGTTTGCTACAGCCTTCGCCGTCCCTGGTGGCAATAACAATCTTACAGGCAGATCTCTTTTTCTAGACCAAGTACCATTTCTGGTTTTTACAGCATCAGATGCATTGGTGATATTCTGCTCTGCCACTGCAATATTAATGTTCATGTCAATTCTCACTTCGTGTTATGTAGAAGAATTTCCTGCGTTCATTACCAAATAGATTGATAATAGGGCTTGCAGCCCTCTTTAGCTTTATTGCCACCATAATGGCAGCATTTGGAGCCACTCATTTCATTGTTCTCAGTGATGACTTTTTGTCAATAGCTATTCCAAATGCTTCAGTGGCTTGTGTTCATGTCACCTTGTTTGCCCTATTTCAGTTCCCTCTTCTTTCCGATACAATTAGTCATTTATATAGGTCTGGCATTTTCTCTCATCCTAGCCATCACTTCTTTTACTAGCTTAATCTAGATAATGTTTCGTGAAGTTCACAGTATAGTGGATTCCATATTGTAACTAGTTCTAACAAAGTATATTATATAAGTTTACATGTTTTGCATTTTACAATTGAATTATCTTTTATATATGCTATCAAAATGAAGAATGAAGTCATTTGTAGAATAATCAGGTTCTTAAAGGTTCCACAATGGATGTAATTAAATTTATTATCATAGGTATATTTTCTACCATGATTTTCTTTTATGCAAAAATTGCAGCAGTGATTTACAATATTGTCTAAATTGGGGCTTTATTGTACCTTTCAGTATCCAATAGAAATCTAGTAAATGTAAGCACGAGTTAACGACTTTTTTCCACCCAAATAATGGCTTAATTACATTTCTCACCCAAGTACTTTTAAAGTATCACTTTTCCACCCAAAAAAATATATTTTTCAATTTGCTGGCAAACAGAGAGCAAACTCGGTCCATTCTTTTGAGGGTATTAAAGAAGGGAGACCGGTGAGTCTTTTGGTGGTCGTTATTGGTCGGAATTTGACTTGGGAGAGGCACTGCAGAATAAGGTTGGGAACATAGCTCTGTATTTTGCTGCTACATCTAGAATCAAAAGAATTGCACAAGTGATGGTTAATAAGAACAAAAAGTTTCCATCAATCCTAGGTAGTGAGAGAGCAACACCATTGTGTATTGCTGCTTTGTTAGGCCACAAAGAAATGGTCTGGTATCTTTATTCTGTTACCAAGGACACTGATCTAAAAGATGAAAATCGAATCAAACTTCTTGTTGTTGTCATCAATACTGCCCTTTATGGTAACTTACCCTTTTCCTTCTCGGTCTGTTTCTCTAGTTTTGTAAAATTTGTTTCACTCTTTGATCTAAAGATAATGTTGCAACCTTTATCTCTTTGAACAAACTTTAATGAGAATCTCATGTTAATTTGCCAGATGTGGCATTACACTTAATTCATCATCATCCTGAATTAGCTATAGCTCGAGATGGAAATGGAGAGACAGCTCTTCATGTATCGGCAAGAAAACCTTTGGAATTTGTAAGTGGGAGTTAGCTTGGAATTTGGCAGAGGTGCATTTACTCATGTTAGTAACTCCATTATTGGCCATTCTCATGGTTTTAACATTTTTTTCTTATAGTAGCAAATAGATTGTTCTTTACATGATTATTAATTATACACTAGACTATCTAAATTTTGAGAAAAAAACATCTCCAAGTGATGGTTCTTTGTCGTGTCAGTGCCAGGTATAAGAGCAGTCCTTAACAGAAAGCTAACACATCTCTAAGCTCTTGAATTGGTGAAACGACTTTGGAAACTGGTGTTGTTTCTAGATGACTCAAAAATTGGAGAACTACTTAAGAAACCTTCTCATTTGTTGTTTACTGTTGTGGAAGTAGGGAATGTTGAGTTCATAATTATGCTGATTAGAATGTGTCCTGACCTTATTTGGAAGGTTGATGATCATAGTCAAAGCATATTTCATATTGCGGTGGTTCATCGACAAAAAAATATTTTTACTCTCATACATGCCATCGGTGCTCGTAAAGATCTGATAGCAGCTTATAAAGATGAAAACAACAATAACATGTTGCATCTGGCTGGAAAGCTAGCACCTCCTAGTCGACTCAAAATAGATTTTTGAGCAGCTTTGCAACTTCGACGAGAGTTGCATTGGTTTAAGGTTAATTGATGTTCAAATACTAGGCTTACACTTTATTGATATTGATTCTTTTCTACTGACTTTATTAATGTTATTACCATTAGCTTCCAGGTTTGAATCTTTGTATAATTTCCTTTGAATCACAGGAAGTTGAAAAGGTTGTCCAACCATCTTATAGAGAGTCCAAAAATTTAGATAGGAAAACACCTTATATTTTGTTTTCGGAGGAACATGAGAAACTTCTACAAGAGGGGGAAAAGTGGATGAAAGACACAACATCTTCATGTATGCTTGTTGCGACGCTTATTGCCACTGTGATGTTTGCTGCAGCCTTCACCGTGCCTGGTGGTAATAACAATCTTACAGGCAGACCTCCTTTCTACATCAAGTACCATTTCTGGTTTTTGCGGTGTCAAATGCATTGGCACTATTCTGCTCTGCCACTACAATATTAACGTTCTTGTCGATTCTCACTTCGCGTTATGCAGAAGAAGATTTCCTAAATTAAATACCAAACAGATTGATAATAGGGCTCGGAACCCTCCTTATCTATATTGCCACCATGATGGCAACATTTGAAGCCACCCTTTTCATTGTTCTTGGTGATGACTTTTCGTCAATAGCTATTCCATTTGCTTCATTAGCTTGTGTTCCTGTCACCTTGTTTGCCCTACTTTAGTTTCCTCTTTTTTCTGATACAGTTAGTCATTTATATAAGTCAAGCATTTTCTCTCGTCCTAGCCATCACTTCTTTTACTAGCTTAATCCAGATAATGTTTTGTGAAGTTTACAGTATAGTGGATTCCATATTGTAACTACTTCTACAAAGTATATAGTATAAGTTTCCATGTTCTGCATTTTGCGATTGGATTATCTTTCTATATATGCTGTCAAAATTATGTAGTAGTCTATTCAAACTCTCTTTCCAGGCTCAAAGGAATTATTCAGTTGAAATTCATACTGTACCATTCTCTTTGGCCAATAGTTCTCTATTTTAATAGAATAAAGAAAGAAAGAATAAATGATGATAATAAGGAATTCTAAAATGTTTTATTCATCGTGTTAACTCTTGACATCAGAAAGAACAGTCTGAGAAGTGTAAATGCCAAATTTGACGAAGTTTCCCTTTCCGACCATGTATTGCTTATATTGTTTGGTTTAGCAACACAGAAATGCAAAATGCTAATTTAATTAACTGAATTGTGATCACAATTTTTTCTTGTCTATACTTTACAATCTATATGATTTTGTAATTCTAATGTTAATATATGATATTCAATGTAAATAATTATGTGAAAAATATACATTAAAATTCTAAGAAAAAATATATTGAAGATTACAGTGGGCTGCTGTCTTGATTCCACTAACTAATTTTGAAATTAATCTGGACCGTTGATTTGATCCTACGGTTCAATTTACCTTCCCCAACCTTGATCATCTTCCTTAAACCCTAACAAAACCTTATACTTCAATTTTTTCACACAGAAGAGGAGAAGAGAAGAAACAATAAACATGAGTTTAATTGCAGGTTCTTACGAAAAATTCATCTGGGGTTATAAGCTTAAACCGTTAAAAAACTCTTCTTCCTCTTCAACACTAGCACTAACCCTAACGCAGCTTTTTTCCTACCCATCCCACCTCGCCCCCATCACTACAGTCGCCGTCGCCGGGACCGCGGGGGCCTCCGGATCCAGTGACGACACCATCCACCTTTACGACCTCTCCTCCTCCGCCTCTCTCGGCGCCCTGCACCTCCAAGACTCTTCCTCCGTTACCTCTCTCGCCTTTTACACTCCGCCCAATCTTTCTGTACCTCGTAACCTCTTCGCCGCGTCTGCCGATGGGTTCGTTTCGATTTTTGACGCCGACCCTTTTGTTCTTTTGAAGTCTGTTAAGGCCCACAAGAAGGGAGTCAATGACTTGGCCATTCATCCTTCTGGGAAGCTCGCGTTGAGTGTGGGGAGAGACGAGTGCTTGGCTATGGTTAATTTGGTGAGAGGGAGGAGGAGTTTTTACCATAAATTGGGGAAAGAAGCGAGCTTGATTAAATTTGACTTCAGTGGGGCTAAGTTTTTTATGGTTACAGAGGAGAAAATTGGGGTTCATCAAGCTGAAGATGCAAAGTTGCTGTGTGAATTGGAGGGAAATAAAAGGATTCTTTGTGCAGCTCCTGGAGAGGTTAGTTTCATCCTTTGGTGCATATGTTTTGTTGTTATCAATTGACTAATAATTGTTTTGATTGATTGATTGAAGTTGTTATTTTACCCCTGAAGCAAATGCATATTAGATTTATGCGTCATTTGGGTTGTTGGAATCGAAGAATAGGAAGTTCTATGTTTTGAAATAGATTTAGAAGTTCACTGGTTGAGTCTAAACTGATAAAGTTTAAGGTGGGAACTCTGTGGTGAAACAGTATTGCATTTGGCCTAAAATTAAACAACTCTCTGTTTATAATGTGTTTTGGCATCTTGAAACAGATAATTTTTTCAATTTTGTGCATGTTAATTTTTTCTTTTAGTTCTTGAATTTTATTTCTATTTTAACAGAATGGAGTTCTACTTACTGGTGGTGAGGACCGTAGTATCACAGCCTGGGACACAAACAGTGGGAAGGTATCATATTGCATTGGAGATGCTCATTCTGCCCGTGTGAAAGGTGTTGTGGTGCTTTCTAAGAATGATGGTGGTGGTGATGCTGATGATCCATATCTAGTGGCATCTGCATCCTCAGATGGGGTTATACGNTCTACCATTCTAAGGACATATATCAATACATATTGCAATAATAATGATTTACGCGATATAGAATAAAATGCCTTTTATTGATTAATGAACATTATTACAAAGAGTCAATTCTACAATAATTGATTGGCTCTAGGGCATCTACTCTAACATGGACTTCATTGGTTCGATTCTACTCTTGGGTCGGTAGCGAAATCCGTTCAGAGACAAGTTGGAGGAGCCTCCAAACACATGTCGTAAATTATTTTTGTTTTCCGTTGCCATGACTTGATCGTTTCCTACACAATTATGATTTACATGATATAGAAGAATATGATTGTTATTGATAAATAAACATTATTATAAAGAGTCAATTCTACCATAATTGATTTGTTCTAGGGAACTTATTCTAACAGACATCTGCTGTCCTATCACTATGAGTTTTTTTAGTGAAGGTGGGTCTACTCATAGACCACCATTGTTAGAGGGAACTAGCTTTTCCTTCTAGAGACCTACAATAAAAGCCTTCTTAAAATCTATTGATGAAAGGATTTGGAATGCTTGTGTTGTTGGTTGGAAAGAATCGCAAGTTGTTGGTGAAGCTGGCAGTAGTAAAGGAAAACCCTTAGATCAATGGACCAAGGCTGAGTTGGAAGAGTCAAATTTCAACTCAAAAGATCTTCATGCCTTCTTTAATGCTGTTAGTATTAGCCAAATGAAAAATATTGCCAACTATGAAATGGCTAAAGATGCATGAGACAGATTACAAGTTAAGAATGAAGGAACATACATGTTTAAAAAGACTAGACTTAAGAGATTGACCACTGATTATGAAAATCTTATTATGCATGATGATGAATCTATCACTGATTTTTATGGTCTGTTGTGTGATATCACGAATGAATGTTTTGCCTTGGGTAAGATTTATACTGATGCTGAACTTGTCAGGAAGGTACTGTGTTCCCTACTTATGAAGTTCATGTCCAAAGCAACCTCTATTGAAGAGTGTCGAAATTTGGATGAGATGCAGCTGGACGAACTCATTGGGTCCTTACAAACATTCAAACTCAATCTTAAACGGTGGGAGAAGAAACCAGGAAAGGGATTAGCACTGAAGCATGAGGTAATATCTGAACCTTCTAGTTGTGTTGCTTCTAGTGATGGTGAGGAAGATGAGTGTGCACTACTCACAAAAAAAAAAAAAAAAAAAAAAATTTGCTAAATTCTTGAACAAGAACATGAGAAAACAAAATTTGAGCAAAAAGAGTAAGTAACCCTTTGTGAAAAAGTCTTCTGACTAGTTTGGTCAAGGTGCCTCTTTGAAATGATTTTCGAGAGATAATGAAAGGAAAAACAAAGGCATCAAGTGCTATGAGTATGAAAGGTATGGCCACATTCAATCAGAGTGTGCGAACACTCTAAAGAAAAAGGGAAAAGCCATGGCTGCCACACTAAGTGAAAGTGATGACAGTGAGAGTGGAGGTGATGACATAAATGAGGATGACCACTTTTTGGCTTTTACGAATAACCAAGAGGACAGTAGGAGTGTGTCCTCGGATGACTCAAACTATGTCTATAAAAATCAGCCAGAGGCTTATGACAAGATGCATGAGTCATGGTTGAAAGCCATCAAAAAGATCAAATCACTTGAATATGAAAATTGCCCCTTAACGGAAGATAAGAAAATGTTGACTGATAAGTTAAAAGTCTTGTTTATTGATTTATCCAACAAGGAAATTTTATTAAATCAAGCTTTAAATGAACTAACTGAGGCCAAGGCCATTGTTGAAAGATTGAATGCAGGTTCATATAAACTTGATGAAGTTCTCGGCCAAGGAAAGTCTTTTGGTGACAAAACTAGTTTGAGATTTTCCCCGGGTGCGAGCACTTCCGAACCTGGTGTGACCACCTTCATCAAGGTGAGCACCTCAAAACTGGTTGTGACCATCGCAGTCAACACAAATTCAGATCCAAAAGTTTTTGCTGCTCCTCCTGATCCTCCCTTGAAGTAAAAAGGTTTACTTCTGTTTGTCATTTCTGTCAAAAGAAATGTCATATTAGACCTAATTGTTTTAAACTCTTTTCATACTTGAAAAGATGCATTAGAAATCATGGTTTTTCCTCTAAAAAATCACCACATCAAAACATTTTTTTCAAAAACAGAAAAATGTGGAAATTGTAGTCTAGTACCAATTGTTTAGTTGCTCATACATCATTGCTTGCATTTCAAAATGACCAATGGTACTTTGACAATGGGTGTTCAAGGCACATGAAAAGTAACAAAAGTTTGTTGACTAATCTTGAATTTGCAGAGGCTGGTCATGTGACCTATGGTGATGGAAAAAGAGGTAAAATCCTTGGCAAAGGGTCTCTAGCCATTCCTGTTCTGAATGATGTTTTCTATGTTGAAGGTCTTAAAGCTAATCTTATAAGCATCACTCAAATCTGTGATAAGGGTTGTGTTGTAAAATTTTCAAAAAATTTGTGTCAAGTTTTAAATGATGATGGTACTTCAATGCTTGAAGGGAAGAGATCAAATGATAATTGCTACTTATTGACTAAAAAAATTTCTTGTTTAAGTTCGAAGTCAGATTGTGTTGATATTTGGCACAAGAAGCTTGGACACATGAATTACAAAGACCTTGTGAAACTTTCCAAGAAAGATGTTGTGAAAGGTTTACCTAAACTTGTGTTTCAAAAAGGTAAAGTTTGTGGCCTGTGCCAACAAGGTAAGCAAACAAAGTCTCCTCACAAATCTTTGTCTTGGTTGAGTACCTCAAGTGTTTTAAAACTTCTTCACATGGACTTGGTGGGTCTTATGCAAACTAAAAGTTTGGGAGGTAAGAGATATGTTTTTGTGTGCGTTGATGACTTTTCTAGATTTTCTTGGGTTGATTTTTTAAGGGAAAAGTTTGATGCATTTGAAGCCTTTCAAAACTTGATCAAAAGACTTCAAGTTGAACAAAATTGTGGAGTGAAGAAAGTTGTAAGGATAAGAAGTGATCATGGAGAGAGTTTGAGAACTCTGATTTTTCAAATTTTTGTGATTAGTAGGGTATATGGCACAAGTTTTCTGCCCCAAAAAAACCCCAACATAATGGAGTTGTTGAGAGGAAGAATATAGTCCTTCAAGATATGGCAAGAGTCATGTTAAATGCCAAGAAATTACCAATGAGACTATGGGTTGAAGCAATCAACACTACATGCCACATTGCCAACAGAGTTTTTCTAAGGAAAGATACCTCACAAACTCCATATGATTTGTGGAAGGGTAAGAAGCTTTATTTGTCCTATTTTCTTGTCTTTGGTTGCAAGTGTCATGTGTTGAATGATAGAGATCTCCTAGGGAAATTTGATTCTAATAGTGATGAAGGTGTTTTTCTCATATATTCCACAAATAGTAAAGCATATAGGATTTTTAATATGAGAACTCAACTCATTATTGAATCATTTAATGTTGTTTTCTCTTATTTAGAAGATTTCTCACAGTTTTCTCATGAAGATGATATTGATGACTTAATGTCTCCTACTGAGGTGACCACCACCCAAGAGAATGTACCCACTCCGAGTTCATCTAAAGATGTGACCACTTTGAAATCTGATATGAACACCTCTACAGCCCAACAAGGATCTCTTTCGGAGAGACAAGGACTTGAATTGATTGTTGATTTGTTTGAAGAAATCACTTAACAAAAGACTCCCAAAACTAGAAAACCACCCTCTTGCATAAAAAAGGCTCATCCACCTTCCACGGTGATTGCAAATCTAGAAGATGTAATGGTCATTAGACGAAAAAGGTTGAGTGAAATTAATAACCTGTGCTATGTTTCCCTTTCAGAACCTAAGAATGCTAAATAAGCTCTTAAAGACGATTACTAGATTGTTGCCATGCATAAGGAGTTGGAACAGTTTGAGAGAAACGACATGTGGAACTTGGTTCCTCGGCCTAAAGGGATCAATGTTATTAGAACAAAGTGGATTTTTAAAAATAAATCGTATGAGTTTGGGAACATTGTGCGAAACAAAGCAAGGCTTGTTGCACAAGGGTATACCCAAGTTGAAGGAGTTGATTTCGATGAGATTTTTGCACCAGTGGCTAGGCTTGAATCCATAAGATTGATGTTGGGAGTTGCCTACTTTATGAAGCTGAAACTTTACCAAATGGATGTGAAGAGTGCATTCTTGAACGACATGCTCATAAAAGAAGTCTATGTTGAGCAATCAGTAGGATTCTAGGATCCTTACAAGCCAAACCATGTTTTCAAACTAAAGAAAGCACTCTATGGATTGAAGCAAGCACCGAAAGCTTGGTATTATAGGCTAACCTCCTTTATTCTTGATCACAACTTCTCAAGAGGTAATGCCGACAAAACCTTGTTCATAAAGCATGAAAGTGGTGAGTTTTTGTGTGCTCAAATTTATGTAGATGATATAGTCTTTGGTTCTACTTCTCATACTCAATTGAAAAAATTTATTGCATTGATGAAAGATGAATTTGAGATGAGCATGGTTGGAGAGATAAACATGTTCCTTGGCCTTCAAATCAAACAAATTGATTGTGGCATGTTTGTCTCTTAGTGCAAGTATGCCAAAAACATGCTCAAGAGATTCAATCTCGAAATTGCCAAGCATGCTAACACTCTAATGAGCTCTACCCTTAAACTCTCCAAGGATGAAAAGGGTAAAAAGGTTGATAACAAGTTGTTTAGAAGCAAGATAGGAAGTTTGTTATACTTGGCAGCAAGTAGGCCTGATTTGTGCTTTAGTGTAGGTGTGTATGCTAGGTTTCAATCTAATCCAACTGTGCTTTATCTCCAAGCTGTGAAAAGAATTATGAAATATGTTGTTGGAACATTTGATTTTGGACATTTGATTAAAGGTATAATTGCTCGTGTGTGAAAATGACTATGATTGAGAACATTCTTTTGCATCCCCAAACAAGTTGGTGATTTTACCTTATGTCACTTTGATCTTCAATACTTGCCTCTGTAAAACATTGTTTAATGAAATTGATCTCATGGTAATTTTTTTTTTGTGTCTCTTGGCTACTGCCTTATGTCTGATGTCACCACCTTGAGAGTTCATGTGCTCACATGTCTACTGTCTTGAATTTTTTAATTCTCTCCTAAGTGTCTCTTCTGCAGATGTGTTATATCATTAATCCACTGTGTGCACCTTGTTCTGTCATGTTACCACATGTGTATTTTTTTTTTAAAATGTTTGTTGTGCACACATTTTATTTTGATATGACCACCTTGTGTTCAATCAAAAAAATTTCCATGTTTTTCTAGGGTTTCGAATTTTTCTTTTTAGGCCGCCTCTTTTTTCTTTAGTGCCATCAAACCTAGAACTGCGTTTTTCAAATTTTTCTCTTCTCAAAATTCTCTGCAAAACTAACCTTTTTGTTTGACTCAATGGAGCATCAACAAGGGTTTGTTAATGACATTAGGAAGATTACTGAATCAAAGAATAGAACGAGATCAGGGTAGTCCTTACAAGCCTAGGAAGGTGCGCACTCATATACAACAAGTGAAGGCACCCCTTTAGCTTCAAAATCTGTGTCAAACTCGCAAAACTCAAGATCTACATTGCCTAATGGTCAACCTCTCATCAAGAAACTGAAGCGCTCAAAAGGCTCTCCAGCCAAATCCAAAGGAAAGAAGAAGAAACAAGCCGAAATCGCCAAAGGAAAAATGAAGGTGAAAGTTCCACCTTAATCTGAGGTACTTGGTAAACATCGAATCTTTTACTCTCTTTTTGCTGAGCCTAGGTTTAAGGAAATTGTTGTTTTTAGGCCTATTGTGTGTGAGTCTCATGTAGAACTCTCTAAGTTCCCTGAAATTGCCAAAAATGTGGTTGAAAGAAAATGGAAAGCCTCTGTTGTTAAACTTGTGTCACCATGTCAAGAGTTTGTGCAAGAATTCTATGCACATTTCAGGAAAGATTTGGACCAAGTGTGTTTTCGCAAAAACCAAGTTTGGGTAAAGGGTATTTGGATAGAGTTTACCCCTGATGTCATTATGACTATTTTGAATCTCCCTGTGGTAAAGAATGAGGATGACTTATCTATCCCTAAAGAGAAGCGTAAGTTCATGGCCAGTGATCTTAGTGGTGGTGTTGTGATTGAATGGCTTGACAATGGTTTCCTCCCTATCAATGTGCTCACTCCTAATTACAAGGCTCTTTTCAAAATTGTCATCTCTAACTGGTCACCTTCTAGGCATAATTCGTCAATTAGGCTTGATAAAGCCCAACTTTTGTATTAAATTATGCAAGGAAAGAAAATCGATCTTGCCTCTGATATGTATAAGTTGATCAAAATTATGTTAGTGTATGCCCTAGAAACCATTCGTGTTGTCGGTTTCGGAGCATTTTGTCTTGTATCAATATAACATAAATAATAGAAGAAAGAGTTCTTCAATTCATATATATAAATTGCTTCCTTTATTCAGTCATGCATTTAAAATAAAGTATGTACATGAATTGTCCAGATGATTCTTTTAATCGGTGAATGAATTTATCAAAAGGTTCCCTACAAAAGCAATATAATTTAGGCAACTATATTGCATAGTAGGCATACTGGATGCTTTCGAAGGATATCATGAGTTGATATAAGTACGAATGATGATGATAGTCATGTCACTAGGGCATTAGTATGGATTAGCGGTTGGTGTACTGTTTTTCGAACGTGACCGAATAACGACAAATCACTTGGAAAAGCATGTAGTCAATGATTTATTGTTTGGTTATATCAATGCATGATGTACTCTTTTGACCAAAGACATTGTGGTCGGATCTGATACGGATGCGTATGGTTCATACAGTGTATAAGTACGAGACTAGTCATGTTTCGTATGATAAAGCCTATTTGGTCATGCGTTGATTATATGCGGAAATGAACGATGGTCAAGAAGGGATTCATTGACTCGAAAATATAGGATCAGAAGTACAGCTAACTCCATCCGGATTCGAGTTCCTGGGCGAACGTCGATAAATGTCGAATATCAGAATCTCTGGCCAGAGTCTATTATTAGTCATACGAAAGCAAGTTTGTGATGATAAGTTCTGGACATATTGATCGACGATTCGGTAGAAGATCGAGTTTAGGATTTTGACGTTCCATGAATCCATGCTCGATCAAGATATATCAATGGAGGGACTTTACCTGCATGATACGTTTGATCTGAAATGGGTTTGATGAAGTATTTCTTTATTGTGGTTTAGGGACTATGGCACATTGCTAGATGTTTACCATAGTCGTTAGGCCTCTGGACAGGTTTCTGGATTCATCCAGAACCGGCTCATAGCTAATCCACGGTGGATCTACATGGTCACACCAATAGCCTTGAGAAGTTAAAGAAGGACAAGAGAGAGAAATGATTATCCGAAGAGGGCTAGCACCTTCCGAGGGTAATGACAGGATTTCTATGGTAATAGTTACATAGAAAATTATTTGTGACATTTTAACAGTTAAAATGGTCAAGCAATAATTAATTGTATTTAATTATTATATCTTAAAGCGTTAAGATAAATGAAATAAACTAAAATAACCTTTTTAATAGTTAAAGGGCAAAAGGGTAAACTTATGGGTTGTTAATGTAAACTAGTTTAGTTTACATGGGCCCTTGAATAATATTGATTATTCAAAGGGCAAATTAATAAATGCTTGGGCTCCTTTTAGAATAAGATTTTATTGGGGCATGCAAGTGAAAAACAACTAATTACAAAATGGCCCATGTATATATAAATGCAAATGGTTGCATTTTAGGTTATGGATTCATTTTGTTCACTCAAAAGAAAAACAAGCTTTCTCTCTTAGGTTTGGCCACTCTCTCAAGGTGGTGTTAAAGTGTGGAGGATTCATACTTTTGAATCTTGGCTTCATCAAACCTAAGCACTAGGAGAAGATATAATGTTTTTATGCTTTATTTGCATTTTTGAATCCTATCAATCCAACTCTTTATATGCATGTCTTGTTTACATGCTTCCAATCAATATTTTCTGCCACCTCTTCATGGTTCTTTCAAATTGCTGCTGAGTCAGAAGGAAAATCCTTTGTGTTGCCTTTCCCTTCTCTGATCTCAAGGTTTGTTGATTTTTATGGGCCATTAAAACAGTCTAATGACCATTTCCTTAAGGTTAGAACCATATCCACCAAGACTCATGTCTTCTGCCTTATCTTCTATACCTGTTGTAGACGTTCCATCATCCTCTCAAGCACCTCCCGCAAAATCCAGCTCTTGGCAGTCCAAGATTTATGAGCTGTTGTAGGATCTTGACAAGAAAGTGGATGTGTATCATACCACTTTACTTGGTCGTGTTGATTCCCTGGAAGCTACACTAAAGGAAACCAGGGCTGGGTTTTTGAGAAAAGGTCCTTCGAGTGGTTCCAAAGATGTTCCTAATGCCTCTGTTCCTATTGGGAATGTTGTTGTTCAATCTGAGCCTCAGATTGATCTAAATGATGATCTAGTTGCTACAAATGTTGTTTTTGAAAATATTGATCCTGTCATCCCTAAAGATATTCCAAAATTTGATAAAGAAGATGTTGTGGTTGAACCTATTTTTGGAGTTGCTGTTGATGCTAATGCAAAAGAAACTGACACTTCCTTGAATGTTCCATAAATTGATCCTCCAAATAGTGAGTAAGAATCTACAGAAGTGGTTCCTCCAGCTAGGACGTAGACTGA